CTGAACCTGCAGCCCTGCCCACCTTCCACACGCGATGGGCCCCGCATCCCCAGCGGGAGAGTAGAGCACCCTGCTCCAAACCTCACCACACTGCTTAGCCTAAGGCCACATCTGCACCGGGGTCGGGAGTTACTGGGACAGAAGCTGCTACCCAAGCCAGGCAAGGGCTCAGAGCATCAGTCTGAGCTGTCACTTCATCCCCTGCTTTGTGCACGGAGGTGCTCGGTGAGGTCTCAGCAAGGGCATCTCCGAGAACAGCGGGGTTAAGGCAACGGTTTCAGTGCTTAGGACAGGTGGGAGGGGAATTTATTTTCTGCTCATTCTGGTTCCCCCCGTGACCTTAGCAAAACTCTGCGCTGCCCTCAGAGGAGGGAGGAGGCACAGAACAGCAGAGCCTTCCTCCTGCCTTGTCCTCCAAAGGGGTGCTCCGTCGCGTGTGGCTGCTGCCTGGACCAGCCCTCGGCACTTGGGGACAGCCGCACAGCAGAGGGTTTGTCACCCTGCCATACCCCAGCCTCTCCGCCCCAACACCACGGCTTTCAGGCGACACGGCAGTGGCATTCTCCTCCTGCCAGGCAGTTCAAAGCCGCTCTGCTCGTTTCCAGAGCTTTCTGCAAACTCCAGCTAATCCAGGCTGTGCACGGCTCGGTGGCAGTGGACAGCAGGAAACAGCTGAAAGAAAACACCCCCAAAGCGGTCACGGCACATTCCCCAAATAGCAACGGGCTGTTCTGTGGCCAGAGAAAGGCTACAAACAGAGGGGGAGAAATTTGGTCTGCTGTCCTGGGAGTGTTTTCAGGCATCAGTGGCATGTGAACGCAGATACCACCCTTGGGAGAAAGCTCTGTCTGCAAACTGCAGACCCCTGTTTTGTGTGAGCATCCCAGTCTCTCCAGAAGTCCCAGAGCTTTGTGCGAGGGTACGGAGTAAGTGATTCGTGCCAGCTGCTCCAGGAATGTCCCTGCTGCATCTTGCCACAGCAAGACAGATGGAAAAGCCACGGCTGCTGCTGGCCAGGAGCTGCCAAACACTAGCCCAC